ACTTGAATAAACTTTACGAAGAGGCACGAGTACCTAACCTAACAGACTATTAACAAATTTTTCAGTCTTTAAATATGTCAGACAGAGTTAAACATACATAATAAATATAGCATACTCGTTGGTGAACATTATTACTTACTTTCGATTGAGATCATTACTTGCAAATCAAATTAGTTAAAAAAGGGGAAAGACTAGGCCAGTTAAAAGCAACTTTAACCTATTAAATAATTAAAAACTTACTTTTGTCTAAGAAAATAGGTTTTCAAGAATATTAAAGCTTCAAAATCGAAACTCGAGAAATCTCGAGCTCCGGTAATTTTTTTCTCGTCTCGAATGAAGCCAAATTTCTCGAGTTTTCTCGAGTTCGAGAAAGCTCGAGCAGAAACCCTATTGTTGCCTCAATTATGCACGTGGGGCATTCGCGAACATCTGCGAAGTTGCCGGGTAATGGACGGCGAGTTGCCGCCACTCGGCCGCGCAACTTTGACCGCCTCCGTCGCTTCCGACTACGTGCACCTAATTTGGACAATAAATGTTTCCTAGTAATGTTAAGTGCTAACTTGAGAGATTTTCTGTTCTTTATTTAGAGTGTCATTTGTCATGCCAGAGTCATAGTGTTGGGGAAAGAATCAGCAGGCAGCGAATCTCGTCTCTAGCTTTTCGCATTAATAGTGCGATCATCAAAAAAAGTATTGACAGATCAGTCTCTTATTTTTTGCAGTTTTTTCGCCTTACTCAGATCGCGCAGGACCGGTGGCCGTGGAAATCCTTTGTCCTGCAGTCTTACTCATAAAGTTAGCTATAGGTGTGAGGTCTAGTTTTGATCATTGGTCATCTATTTCTTACAAATCCTTGTCATAATTTCAAGAAGAATTGAGAGAACACTTTCGCGCCATGCCGGAGGGATGGCGCAACATCTGCAGAAGTTATCTGGCTAATGGACGGCGCATTAAGAGTCTCCGGCCGCGAACCAACTTTGACCGCTTCGAGCCGTTAATGTTTGCGTAAACATTTAACTTGGTGACAGCCGCCGTTTTAATATTCTTTCACTTAATCAGTGGCCTATTACCGTTTTTGTAGTAATAGGAGTCAACGTTAAATAGTTCCTGACACCCAGAGTAGCCAAAAAGTTCGCAACACGTCTTTGTTATAATTGGAATAAGCTTGTGTTGTCCATTTTTTGGCAACTTTGGATGTATACTTAGTTAGGAGGGACGTCCGTGTATAATAGTATATTTTAATAGGTATTTTTAGCATTTTGTTCCTCCTACCTAACGAGGACATTTTTGACGTAACCCGTTCCCAGCATGATGGAGAGTAATGGAGACGCCAAAACAATTGCAAAAAAAGTGTCGCGTTTTTTAAGCTTTCAAATTGAAAACGGATTTGCGCAATTCTCTTACGAATTCCTAAAACGCATTTTTTAAAAGTCGTTCTGTGAACTCTGCAACGAGCTTCCGAGCTCACGCGTGTTTTGAATTCTACTAGTAAAATCAGGAACGAATATCATTGGTAGCAAAAAGGCTGTCACAGAAATGCATTGAAGCTCACATAGCAACCCGTTTTCATTCCAACGCGTTTCACATTTTTTATAAAAAAAAATAACCATTAGTAATTCATACGGGTCAAAGTTATGAGTTATTAAGTTTCAGTTTTCCGTTTTCTTCCATGAAAAAAATCAAGGTAAGGTTAAGTTGCGGCCGCAGCCCGTCTGCCAACTTTGGCCGCATCTCGTTCGTTAACTTCGTAAACATCGAAATTGGTGACAGTTAGCGCCTTAACGCCCGAATTTTGAGTTTTATTAATAGCCTTCTTCACGGATTTCAATGGTCATAATCTAAAGTTAATTTGTTTTGGAAAACTTTAGTCGGAATGACGCGAAAATGAGAAAAATGTATTTATGATAAAGCTATTTAAGGTACAGTGTTATCAAACTCGTCACATTTTCACGATCATAACTATTCGAACTATGGCTAACCTCAGTAATGTTTATACTGGGGACTAGTGGGGACTATAATGTTGATATGGGAACGGATAAACAACTTTAATAGATCCAAATGGATAGTAAATTCAGCCCAAAAACAACCATAGTTCTGTTCTGGGTAGGTAGGTACATTATGGTAATACTCCCGTGAGATTTAAACCCACAATTTAGTTGGCATTGTAACCCGGTACGCGCATAAACCACCAGGTCAGCAATCGAATTTATGTAAAGGGTGGTAGAGATATTTATAATTGAGAATAAACTTAATTCACAAATCCAAGCATTTTTTTATGGCGACGTAAGGATTTTCAGAAAAGCATTAGGTTAGGCGAGACCGAGTTGTGACAATGTTGATTTTTTTTTATCTTTAACTACTAGTGAGTTCGTAACAGTGAGTGTTTTTAGTTCTAGTCTCGAGGTCCCAATTATTGATACCAACGGACTATTGAGAGCTCGCTTTTAGTTATTAATAGGTTTCCAAAAATCTATAATATCAATATCACAATACTCCTCTGTTAAAATGTTACAATTACCTACCCCAGTCTCTTGATTCTCTAACTAAAGCTTAGAAAATCTAGATAAATCAAGTCCTTTAGACGCAAGGATCGTTTTACTTGTACTAAAGACGTAATCACCTGCCTTAAAAATCACCAGAGTTATTGTTGCTCGTTACTCATCCACGCAATAAGCGTCAAAATGATTTATTCCTTCCTTACTTATTGGAACGAGAAATGTTACAGCTTATGCTTAATAGTCGCGTTTGAGGATTCCTTGGCTGGTATTTACGAGTTCACTTTGACCGTGTTGAGTTGAGTTAATTAGAAGGATTACACTTTTTGCCTTTGATCGATCGGGAAGGAGAAACATCTTTTGGCAATTAACTATAGAATTATTAATTCGATACCTGAAATATTTCATTCAACTATTTAATTTATCTTTATTTAATTGTAAGTTAGGTTCTTGTCACAATAGTGCGAACTTGCAAAAGCTCTTCGAAAAGCTCTTGACATCACAGTAAGAACTTTTTAAACATTTGCAACACCTCATGAAAACTAACATCTTGCAAGAAAATTATTTTCATGCTTGAAAAAGTTTTTCACATTTTCGTCATACTTTGATGATAATACAATTTAGTACATACTAGCGGCCGCCCGCGACTTCGTACGCGTGGATCCCGTTTTACCCCCTTCATCTATCTTACGCGGTTTAGATTTTTTCATACAAATGTTTTTTCCCGCTAACTCCCGTTCCCGTGGGAATTTTGCAATATCCTGTTGTAACTAAGTTTTAAGTTTACTAAGGTACCTGCATGCCAAATTTCAAGCGTCTAACTTAAGCGGTTTAGATTTTTCATACAAAAGGATTTTCCCGCTTATTCCTGTTCCCGTGGGATTTCTTAAGTATCCTATAACCTGCCCAGGAGTATGAAGAATAATTGTACCAAGTTTCGTTAAAATTCGTCAAGTAGTTTTTGTTTCTATAAGGAACATACAGACAGACAGACAGACAGACAGACAGACAGACAGACAAAAATTTTACTGATTGCATTTTTGGCATCAGTATCGATCACTAATCACCCCCTGATAGTTATTTTGAAAATATATTTCATGTACAGAATTGACCTCTCTACAGATTTATTATAAGTATAGATTATATTGTATTTAGATAACTACTGGTAACTTTAATATCTGATACAAATTGTACATCCGTTCTAAGCTGGCATAATGTTTTTTGGTGCCAAACATCAAACTCTAGTCCAATGTTGATGCAATATTGGATAACTTCCTAAACAATCACATAGTACAGTAAAAAAATTAACTGCATAATGTCTTTTATTTCTCCTGTTTTTTATTATTGTGACACATATTAAACTGTCTCAAGAGGATAAGTTTCGGAACATCTTAGTAGATAAATTCCGAAACTTTTCAGTATTGCTGCAAGTCTACGATACGACTTAAAAACTGCTGCACGAATGAAAGTTTTTTAATTTTATCAAGAGCAAACGAATTTCAACTAGCATATTTTTGGTTATGGTAGGAGACTAGTCCTAAAAAACTTATAAGATTTTTAATACAGAATATGCCATGACTTAACACTGAAGATGACATGAGGTGTAGATAGGTACACTCAAAATCAAAATCAAACATATTTATTTATTCAGTTTAGACACAGAATAATAATAAGTACTACGTACAGAAGTTTTACTTCGCGAAGGTATTAAAAAAATGTATGCTCAATGTCATTCACAATATGGTGTAATTTAGCCTGTCTCAAGAGTCAAGCACCATTTTGTTCACAAGTGATCGGCACTGCGCCGAAGCTATAGGGCTGACTTCGGTAAAATGATGTGACCTCAGGTGCCAAACTGCGGAAAATGGCGGAGGAAATACATGATTTAGCATGAATTATCATGAATAATATTAACTACTTATTTACCTCTCAGTGTCTTGAGGCAACTTAAAAGTACATTCTGTGTCTCTATTATTATTAAGGCAGTTTAATACTGTACAGTATTTAGTACACCATTTTCGTTATTTTCTTCCATCATACACAAGAATAGCCGTGCGGTGCGTGAGTCAATGTTCGCTCGTATGTGAAGCCTTGTCGAATAGTATCCTGTAGGTGGGCCATCGTGCGTGTTTTGTTTTCGATGTAAACTCGCGGAGATGAACAGTTTCTGTAGGCCTACTGTAGGCCTAAGATGCGCGCCGCGATAAGCGGTTATCACACCATTTTATCGATTTTCCCCATACATTTTGACGTCGATAAAAGTTATCACGGCGTGTATCTTAGGCCTACAGGCCTGGTTTAGACCACAAGTGGCACTTATGAACGTCAAAATATAATATAGTACTGTATAGTGAATCCTGTGCCCGTATCCTTAAAAACTAAATTCATTTTTCAAATAGAGTGCATTATCCAAATTAAAAGTTTGCCTTTGATAGAAGCCGTTCAATATAACCTTCGAACTTACGGAGGCAAGCTATTTTTCTCTCATTAGTGTCTTGTTTCCCAGAGAGATCCATTCCCAAGCATCATGCAAATGTAGACCACTTGAGTCTAGACTAAAGGTTGAAGTTTTAATTGGGCTTATAATAAAAGAAGCTTTTCTTTTGTTTACAGCGGCGTTCGCAGACGAGGTTGAAGATTCGCAGCCGCTCCTGTATGTACTGGCAAGGCCCTCGGTGTTCAATGTGGGCGATAGGAGAGCTATCTTCTGCAAAGGAATAAATATTGAGGATGTAAGTGATTCAGTTATTATATGACAATGCGAAAATTATACCTAGTTAGGTAACATTTACTAGCTTTCCTGAAGCAGTGGTAGGGTTAATACTGGGACGTGTAAAAGTGCTTTTTTAAAGCCTACTTACAGAAATAAATGAGTTTTAGAGTTTTTTTTATAAAATAAAGACTATTAATTCAAGCTTTTTATTTTCATTAAATGTAAAATAAATTAAAATGCGTACTTTTTACAGTATTTTTTGTTTCGTAAAGCAGGCACTTTTAAGGAAGGAAGATTTTCTAACCGACCCTTTTTATTTGCGGTCCATCACATCTTTCATCGAAGCAATTTTTTTATTGTAAAAATTCATTTTTAATTTTTAGTTGCAAACAAAATATGAGCTGATCCGCGAATTTTTTATGAATCTGTTTTTATTACAGTTAATGGTGGAATTGTTTTACATCCTTTTGTTTGCTCATTCCAGGAGATAAACTGGTACTCTCCCTCCGGGGAGGTAGTCAAGGAGCGAGACAACCTGAGCTCCAGGACATACGTGGAGCGGAAGGTGGAGGGAAAAGAAGTCAAGGTGCCGCTGATTTTCCACGAGCTGAAGATATCTGATAGCGGCAAGTGGACGTGCAAAGCGGGGAACTACAATGAGACCGTTGAATTCATTGTGGGATGTAAGTATGAGTACTCCTCATTACGAGTAGTAGGTCTAATTTTTAGGTTTTTCGCTTATAAAATATCTTGAAAACTATGCGTCCTAATGACATGCCAAAGGGCTACGGGACTTTTGATATGTTCACCTCCTAACTAGTATAAATAAATCGAAGTCAGAAATTGTGTTCCAAGCATTTCCTTCCCTTCCCTGTTATATTGCTCAACAAAATTAAATACAGTAAAATTTTTCGTAGTTCATATTGAGACCACAAAATATTGAAAGAAACTGCCCTAGCGACGCTCATTTTAAATGGCAAACCATTCAAAATTAGTCGGAGCGGTTTCTTTGAATACTTATCAGGCAATAACGAAATAAATGGTCCCATGTTCTTGGAAATGCCTCTTTAAGTGATAATTTAGCTTACCTACAATTTTAATTTCGAATCTTCTTTTGTGCTTTTTGGATTTCGACTGTGATTAATATTAATTTTGTATTACTTTTTCTAGCGAAAGTGAAAATTGTAAATAGGACCGAGAATAAGATCGGCGAAGAAGGGAAATCCATAAAAATGGACTGCGAAGCTAATGGACACCCTATGCCAGTGGTGCAGTGGTACAGGAATCAAAAGCCCATTAATGGTAATTAGTTTTTATTGCATACTTCTTCTTTGTACTAGCCATTTGCCATATTTGGCATCGGCTTTCCTCGTTTCTCTTTTGTGAATAAAGTCACAATGCGTATCCTAATATTAAAATCAATTCAAATATTCCATTTTTATTTTGTATTTACAGCTGATAGTAAAAAGAACAAGTACAGCATCAGGAAGAAGGGCGACTTGTACACGATGGAGATAAAGGATCTATCGTACGAAGACATCGGCGACTACGTGTGCAAAGTGACGCAGAAAGCTCTCTCACACTACATAGACAAAACCATCACCTTGTCTGTTAAACGTAAGTTAAATTGGAATATTTTTACCCGACTACGCCAGGATGAGGATTATGTTTTTCAAGAGTAGTTTCAGTAATATCATAAAATATTGATTTTTACAAAATTATTATTCTATTAGTTCTATGACCACTATCGCAGACAATGTAATATGTACTAGGTTCTATTTCAAAGTCTTTAAATATGTAATGATAAAATATTCACCTTTTCATTTAAGACTAAACTGTTTTGGTGTTTCTTAGTTTTATTTCTTTTTTTTTTCAGATGGGCCAATTCTCCGTACCTACGAGACAGTTGAAACGTACGCCATTTTAAATGAAACGTAAGTTTCACTCGTAATGTATTTTGCAAATGAATCCGGTCTTACTTAATTTAATTAATTAAAGACACATTTGCATGCTACATAGCTCGGTTTGTATGCAGAGACTAATCCTAATAATGTTATGCGCTGTGGTCTAGCGAGTGGAATTAAGGTAATAGCACACTTATTAACCCGAAAAGGGACCAACACCGTATCGCTTTTCGCCGTGAGGCGAGGCTTTTACGTTACGGTGCGGATAAGACGTGTGCGTTGCAGTACGGAGTTTCATACAAGGAATACTGACCGCCTCGAGTTAATACGGTACGATGCGTTTCCTTGATAAGGGTGGATAAGTGTGCTTTCGTCCTTTAGACTCTATCGATTTGCAGGACCTGAGTTCGATTTGCAGATGGAGGAAAATAGAAAAAAGATTTCATATTAAAAAAAAACTTATTAACCTAATTAACCAAAAGATTTTTTTTTGGTTCCATTCGTTCCTTCTGGAAAAGGCTAAGGTCAAAGACCATGCTGCCTAGTCATTAGTAATCTTCTTGGTATTTTTTTTATTTCCAGGGTAACTTCATTGTTAAAGTATGCTTCATATCTTAACTAAAAGAAGTATGATTCCGTGCTTCAGATGATATTTTGCAGTGATCCAAATGAACACGTCAAAAACGTATTTGAATTTCAATGTTATTTTTACAGTCATATAACATCAGAATGAAGGCTTTAGAGCTTCCTTTCAACGATGCTTAAATAATTATGTTGTTTTCAGCAAAAACATAACCTGCAGTGCATTCGCCTTCCCTCCTCCCGAATACGAGTGGATTCGCACAAGGGACAACTTTGATTCTCCCATTCCTGAAGATGATATTGTAAGTCCTTGATAAAATTAAGGCATGCTTTTTATGCCGGGTATATTTTTGTGTCTTCACGCTTTAACAGTATTTTGTTTAGTTTTGGCTTAGAAAATTATGGAATACACTACTGTTTTTCGCAAATATTAAGGTTATCAAAACAGAAAAAAACAATACTCATATAAAATTATATTATTCTATTCTATGGAGATGTACTAATTGATAATTAAATGTTATATTTGTACCTATATATTTTTAAGAGGGATCAATCATTTTTTCCTGGATCTAAAAAATAATATTTCTGCTTTTGGAAAAGCATTCATTAGCACTATGATATAAGTCTGTTTTAAATGTAATATTAGATTCTCCAATAAGTTAAACAAATAGTAAGGTAGTTCCAAAAAATAAAACACTTTCCGAAAGAAGTCGACAAAGAGTTTTTAAACATTTGTTGATGTGCTAAAGACAGTCATCCTTCCAGGTATTCACTGACAAAGATGGCACGTACTCGGTGCTGAGTCTCCGAGTGCGCAGCGAGGAAGATCTCGGCCAGTACAAGTGTAAGGTCAGCAACAACAAGGGCAGCAAGACAGTCGTATTCGACGTGTCGCTCGGAAACAAGCCTCCTCCACCAGACTCAGTAAGTATTAACGTAACTAAAACTATGTTTCATTGTTCGAGATATATCAATTTCCACTTTAAATTCACACAAATATACCTTCTGCAGAGGTCTGATTGCACAAGAAGAAGTAGGTACGAGTATTAAGGATTAAGCACACTTATCCACCCAGAAATGGATCGTAACCGTATCAACTCGAGGGGGTCAGTATTCTTTGTATGAAACTCCGTACTGTAATCTGCACCGTTATGTAAACTTCTCGCCACGGTTGACAGCGCGATGTTGATCCCTTTCCGAGTTGATAAATGTGCGATGACCTTAACAATATAAAATACATACTTTATGTTCTATTGTTTGAATTACGTGTAGGTATAAATAAATGTGTAGTAAAACTTTCCGCTTAAATATTGCGGTAAACTAACTCCTTACCCTACCTGGAAATTAGGAGGTTAACACGACTATTATTGTTTGGTGCAATACAATTTACTAACATTAACATCTTGGCCATATTAACCTACTGTCCATACATATCCATTATCCACTGTTGGACATAGACAAATTCAAATTGGATTTGCAGTTTGAATTCCGAATCCAATCCACGCCACTGAGCTCGATTCTTAGCAGAGAGGAGCTCAAACTCCAACTCAGAGGAGCTCAAAGGATAGCTTCCTTATAGATAGGTATAGGAAATATTCCATGCTTTAAATTACTCGTATCTGAATGTGTTAAAATTACTCATAAAAAGATTTTTTTACGACCTCGAGTGAAAATGAGGTCATTAATTTTATTTCTATCGAATTCCCAAGTCTAAAAATCTAAATCGAATTCGTACAGATTTTGAATTTTATCCAAGCTAGCTCGTTATTTGTAAGGTGTCTGCCTTGGATTTCTGACAGGTGTTGTTAGGAGCTCCTGAACCATAAGGCATATACGAGTATTACGGTTCGTTCGTTTCAGCCAAATGACGTCCACTGCTGGACAATAGAAAGAAAGAAAGAAAGAAAGAAAGAAAGAAACATTTATTGCTATGGACATCACAAAAGACAAAAGAGGTAAAATGAAAAAAAAAAAGCAAATAAGACAGAGGTGACATAAAACATACAATAAATGAATGAATAAACTAAGCAGTGCCACCCTGTCGCACAGCGATGCCCATCGCAATGGGACCCCACTCAGCATATGCCGTGGCCCCCGGTGAGGGAAGCCACGACGCTGGTTTACAGTGTGCCCCATGCCGAATGAGAGTCACGGTTCACGGACACTAACCTATACTGCATAAAATATACATACATAAATAATAATAATAGTGCGCGTATAAATTTTAAATGTATATACAGACGTAGTAGAAAATAATAATATACGATATAGACGAAGTAGAAAAGATGTGATAAGATATTTATAAATAAAAAGATAATATTTAAAAAACAAAACTGTGTGTGTGTACATACACAATAAGGCCTCCCCCAAGGTTTTCCATAATGAATGGTCCTGCGCTGCCCGCATCCAGGTTCTTCCCGCGACATTTACCAGATCGTCGGTCCACCTAGTAGAAGGCCTGCCCACGCCACGTCCTCCAGCCCGTGGTCGCCACTTTTCTGGTTAAATACCGATTTTAACAATATTTTGTATTGTTCACCAGGTCACTCTGATGAGTGCCAATGGAAGTGCCTTGGTCTTCAACGTGAGCTGCTCACAGTGCAACTTTCAGAAGGAGGAAGAAGGTGTTTCGCCTCCTCCGTCTAACCTTACGGTTATTGGTGAGTATTATTTCTAGGGTTATTTATGGTAGCTTAGTACATATTTAAAGGAAAACCCACCCACAGCTATGTTTAAAAGTTTTCTAAAAGTGTAACTATTATTTTTCAATAAAATTATACATTTTTTACACTTATATTAATTTTGTATTTTGTTACGTTTCAGCCTTCGAATTCCAGCTGACTCCCGCGGTAGAGGACTATCTACCTGACTGGGACGCAGCGTTTGAAATCTTCACTTTAGATATTACAGACGGTACAGTACAAACATACATTACAGTCATTTAAATCAATAATAATATTTTATTGTTTTTATTTGAGGACGCTAATAGGCTTGAGTCATTTGGCGTAAATAAGACTCAACGCCTATATTTTCGACCCATAATTCCTCTCTGGTCATTTAATGAGCCTTTAGTTCTACCAGAAATAATCACTCCCTATAAACAGTGTGTCGTTTGATTGATAGAAGTCACACAACTCATTTACGTTTGGATATCAGCTCATCCAGCTAAACACAGCAGTATCTTATACAGGGTGTTAGGTATTCATATTCATTTATTTCATATTCATACCATTTATATGCCCATGTTAACATGGGCTAGTGTCGGCTCATATACCCATTTACCTAACAGCCTGTATAGCTGCTAATAGATGCTATTTTCACCAAAAAATATGACTGAAACAGCATCTTGGAGACGCGTAGACGCAGTGAAAAGACAATTACCTCGAAACAAAACCGAATACTTTTACATGTTTACAGAAACATTTTTCAGTCTTTCTAACAGTAATGCCCTATATTGTAAAGAAAAGAATTTAAAAACCAAGTTCTGGCTAATCTAACAGTAGATACAAGTATAGGTCTAGCGCTTAATTCAGTCAGTGCCTGAGGTATGGGAGCGGCACGGGAGGGGTGACATTGACATATTATGACACTAGCTTTCCGCCCGCGGCTTCGCCCGCGTGGAATTTTGTCTGTCACAGAAAAACTTTATCGCGCGCGTCCCTGTTTCAAAAACCGGGATAAAAACTATCCTATGTTCTTTCCCGGGACTCAAACTATCTCTATGCCAAATTTCATCAAAATCGGTTGCGAGGTTTAAGCGGGAAAGCGTAACAGACAGACAGACAGACAGACAGACAGAGTTACTTTCGCATTTATATTATTATATAGTTGGGATGACAAAGCATATAATCTGATACACACGTCTCGCTGAACCTGCTACTATGTACCATTTACGAGCCGTTACAAAAACATCCTCCTGTGCCCGTATAGCTAATTATAAAAGTGGATACAGGTTTTTTTTCTGCATTCACAGATAGGTCATACGTCGTCGGCCCCCTGCCCAACTCGACCACGTTCCACGCCCGTGCGAGGTCCCTGAACATCGCCGGCTACTCCGACTGGACTGACATCTCTCCGAGTCCCAGCACCACCGCCCACGCCATCCGACTGCTCGCTTCAGCCGCACTTCTTGTGTTCACAGTCGTCGCTCTATGGTTCTAAGCTGTTAAGGATCGCCAGGTGTAACCAAAGCTTTTTTGTGCTGTAACAACTCCAGCTGTGCCAGTAAACTGTACCGACCCCTCCGCCCACGCCGAATTTTTGAAGTTAATCGGCGTTAGTCGCATTTGCAACGCGTTACAGAAGTGGCATGATTTTAAGTTGAAAAAATGTCTGCCACAGTGGGAAATAAGGGCACGCGTCACATGGATCCATAACTTTTCACTTGTCAGACACCTGCTCTGTCCTGTTGAAGTGATTTCTAAAAGCACCTGAAGAGACAGGCAATTAATTAACGTAATAAAACATGTGTAACAAAAAAAATCATTTATTAGGGATTTTAATCGCCGCGACAGTCAACTGGCATTCAGCTTAGCACTTTGTTTTACACACCTTGTTTACATAGTGTGGCCTAGCCTTATCTCGGAGTTTTAAGAGCCAATTCCATATTGTAGAATTGATATCGCCAAATCATCAATCAATCAATCAATGTGTGCTTTAATGACGATGGATGAGTTTGATAAATGGTTTCTACATTTGAATATATTAATTGGTGAATGTTCGTTCATGTATTTAAGACCATTGTGCTTTAACTCCGAGACAACACGAGGTGTTTGAAAATATTTATCTGGCGTACTTGGCGATTCTAATAAGTTTAGGCGATGGCGTGGGGTTGTCATAATCCAAATTCGGTTTATTTTTGTCGAATTATTATAAAATTTAACTTTCACTATTTGATTTGACTGTGAAAATATCAAAGTTTGTAATTTTGACGAGGCTATTAACATTAATTTACTTTTAAGTTTGTAAATATTTATATTTAGGTTTTGTATCTCCATACTTCCAACTCCCCATGACATTCCAAACTAAGTTTAGATAGGAAATATTTGAAATAATTGTCTATTAGTGCAGTTTCAATTAAATAAGTTCATTGTCATACCCATATGTATAACAATGGCCTGAACTTGATATATGTATAAATATAAACAAACATTGTTAAAGTATAATAATATGTGATAGTAAGTAAGACTCTTTTAATTTACTGACGATACTTAGAAATATTCGGTTCTATAATATGAATGATTTGAAGCATTTTAGTTCTAGCTGTACTGTTATTACGTTTAATTATAATACATAATATACTTGCGAGTTATATAGATGATTATATTTAACTTTAACTATTGTAATAACTATTGGAAATGTCTGAGTGTTCTAAATATAGATTGCGTCCAAATTTCCTACATGCATGTTTACAATTTATCGTTGAAATACAATCGTAAATGTTACCACTTTTATATATTTTGCTGAATTCCTAACGTTATTGATTATATAGCATTTTTATCGATGTAAATATTGTCTTTTGTGTTTAAAATTTTCTAAGTTTAGAGTTTAAGGTCACTTGCGTAATGAAAAGTGTGGTATGTTTTTGTTTAGTATACTGTACACACATCTTCAGTGAGAAAACAATATTGTTTCATGATTTTCTACTTAAGAGTCTCCTGTAATCTTAACTGTGTCACCGTAAATTTAAGAAATTAGGGTGTCACTTATCTAACAAATAATTTTCTAAAATATATTTCTATCGCCAAGAAACAAAATACAACATCCACAAAGACAGTTGATCGTAGAATTTGATAAAATTTACCCCAGAAACGAAATAAAATGGAGCTGCATTTTCTAGACTAGAATTATAATACAGGCGATTCTTAAGTTTAAAAGCGAATTTTAGAAACCCAAATATAATTAATGCATCTAAAATTACCTGAAGATGTAAAACATCTTAATTTATGTTTAGAGTAAATTATTTTAGTGCTATGATTGTAGAATTAACATTGTTTAAGTATAATAAAACGAAACTATTATAATTAAACTGAGACAATATTCGTGCAGGTACTACTTTATACCGACTATCCCAACTTCTTATTAGTGTCTTTGATCTGATTTATCAATTTACCTTTTGTAAAAGTTTTGATCAGCTATTTTAAATTTAAATCACACTATCAATGCGAATAAAGATTACCTATATCAATTTTGGTATTGACGACCAAAAAATTAAAAAGTTCAGAATAGTTTTTAAGTATACGGTCAGAATTTTTGGTTCGGTCATAAAACACCTTAGCTTTACTTACGTATGATTCTGCAAAAAAAAAATTATTTGTTAATTAATTACTTTAACAACAATTTTCAATTTATTGAATTTTAGTTTTACAAATAAAACTTTTTAAATGTAGAAAATGAACTTTCTAAAACTTTCTTTATTTCATTTCAATTACAATTATTAAAATTATATAAATTGTTAGAAAATTCTTCAGCCTTAAACTTAACGATTTTATCATTTAAATCTATTAGCTTTTAAAGCTTTATATCTACCACTAATGATTCATAAGAATTTTAATAACTGTTTTGCAAAAATAATTTTAAAATGTACGATGTACAGTCTAAATGTACAGTCGCCAGCATGTCGACCTACCACAACGAGCTCTGCTATATCGTTAACGTTAAGGTTCTAAATTAATTGAGGAAAGATTATTAATTTGGTGGTAAGTTGATGTGCTGGGGACGGTATCACGATATTTTGACCTGTTATACCTATTGTGCAGGACTATTTATTATCCGGCTAGAAAACTGTACGGAAATGTCGGAGGCCAGATAACTGATCACTGNAATCAGGTATTAGGTATAGGGGAAGAGCATAGAGGGGAACCGACGACCTCATAGAGGTAGCAGGAAGGCGCTGGATGCAGGCCGCTACTAACCGGGTGATATGGAAATCATTGGGGGAGGCCTATGTTCAGCTGTGGACGTCATGTGGCTGAAATCATGATAATGATGGAGAGCATAGAAGTTTTAGCTACTGTTGTCATTTTCTTTGGTTTTTGTGCGAGATAATCTGGTTCAGAGATGAAAAATCATATATTTTATTTTCGGAAAAAAGGGACTATTCCCACCTTTCGTTCCCACCACCGCAACTCCAATGTAGCCAGGATCTACAGCCTGACCACCAATAAAAACCCAACCAGTAAAGGTCAAAATGTTCCGGAGGAAAGTTAAACTGTCTTTGGACACGCAACGATTGAAACGAAAATTATTTTTTGAAAAGTATTTATGTATAATAACAGATTTTTTAATAACAGATTAAAAAAAACGATTCTTAGTCCACACTGTCCTGAAGTTTGTGCCTTTGGGTAAATTGCCAGTGTAACTAAAATTTTCATTCCCTAAAAAGTCATTTTGGGGTAAAATTCCAAGTGATAAAATGTAAGTTGAACAACATTTTCTTATAATTCCCACTAGTTTTCTCTGCAACTTGCATAGCCCGGATCTGTAACTTGACCGCTAATACCCGACTGTAGCGAGTGAAAGCTAGTTGGTCCCGGGGGAAATTTAACTGAACGTGTGTACAGTTTACATTTTGGCTAGTCTAGTTATTGTTTTTTCAATGCACTATATTTAGGATGTTACAATCCTAGTGGGTAAATTAATTTATTGTGTCAGGGGTTGCCTAGTATCAATTGAATAACTATTAAACTAACATTTGCCCGCGGCTTCGCCCGCGTTAAATACATTTGTCACAATTTGTCATAGTTAAAATTCTCATATTAAGGCTGAGTACCACCTAACTTTGACCGTAACTATAACGATAACCGGTGCTTTTCGTATGGAGTTTGATAGATTTTTGACGTTTGTTAAAGGTAAAAGTAAGATGGTGCATCCCAGCCTAAATGTTCGTTAGTTTAGGTGCGAAAGTACTCGTAATAAAAATCTCACAAAATTTCACATTAAATTAGTAGGATCAGTTAGAAGAAGGATAGGATAGGACAGCAGAATGTTCTATTTTACCCTACAGCCCCAGAAGGTGGATTATGTTTTCAAAACATGTTCTTTACGTTTTTGGAGAAGCTTCTTCTACGCTTTTTTAATACGCAAGTTCCTCGAAAACTGGAACAGATGTGCATTTTAGACAATTCCTGGATTGTGTACTGTAATATTACGTAGCTTTTACCAAATCTCATATCTCTCCTTCTATCTTCTATGACTTTACTAGGGATTCAATACTACCTGTGCCCGCGACTTTGTACGCGTGAAAATACTTGCGCGTTCAAGCAAGGAACTCTACAGCTTCATAATATTACTAGCGGCCGTCTACGATTTCGTGCGCGTGGATCCCGTTTTACCCCCTTAGGGGTTGAGTTTCGTAAAATCCCATCTTATTGAGCACCTACGTTCTAAAAGGAACCTCCATGCAAAATTTGAGGCTCCTAGCACTTATAGTTTCTGAGATTTCGTGATGAGTGAGTGAGTCAGTCAGTCAGTGACCTTTCGCTTTTCTAAATATAGACAAGTACATTAGTATAAATTGGGGTATAGCAAGAAATACAGCTAATTGTGTTTGATTTTCATCCGTTTCCTAAGAATCGTTATTTGAAATGTGTTCTGAAAGGGATCTAGTACCATTCCAGGATTCCATTTGGAAATACAAATGGATAACTCAGTTTACTAGCTTTACCACGGAGTGGCATTTGCTTGTTTCATTTTGGACCAGTTTTAACCTGGGACTTCTTCTGGATGGAAATTAGTAGTTATTATGTCAGTTTACTTGATGTTTAGCCCTCTCAATAGCACGCTGTGCAACTTTGAGCTTCTGTATAAGCCTTTAGTGAGAGGCCACGTTTCCGAGCCATAAGTTATCACTGGTAACACACATTGGTTAATACTCTAGTCTTCAGGCATTGAGGTAATTTGGACGAAAAGATGTTGCGTAGTTTCCCGAACGCTGCCCAGCCGAGTTGGATTCGACGATTGACCTCCTTCTCGAAATTGGACCTACCTAGCTGGATGAACCAAAGTCGCTGACATAGCCCGACGGATTAGCAAGCTGAAGTGGCAATGGGCAGGGCACACAGTACGCAGAACTGACGGCCGATGGGGCAGAAAGGTTCTGGAATGGAGGCCGCGTACCGGAAAACGCAGCGTGGGACGTCCACCTACAAGGTGGACCGACGACATGGTAAAGGTAGCAGGGAAGCGCTGGACGCAGGCCGCTACCAATCGATCAACATGGAAAGCATTGGGGGAGGCCTATGTTCAGCAGTGGACGTCCTGTGGCTGAAATGATGATGATGATGATTTGATGTTTGTCACCCGATTACTAGCTTTTTTTTTTATCCACAACGAGGAAGCTGGCCTGCGTCTTTCCTGATGAAAAGTGATGATCAGGCCAAAGGTAGAAGCGAGCTTCACCCGGAATCCTTAACCACAGAAGAACTGGCTATCTTACCAGCAACTGCCGAAACACAACAATTTTATTAATATTATTGTTAGGTCGCTAGACTTAGGTAAGATGGTGGTAGCTAGCTAAATCACAGAGATTTGTATATTTCCTACTATTTCTACTGAAGGAAATTCGTCGATAATATTTTCATACAATTCAATGGCATACCTCTATTCTTCCCAATCCGTCAGCCGTTTCAATCCTTTAAAATATTTCAATTCTACGAAAATCAAGAGCGTCGCACCGCGTTAAAACGTTATTAATCAAAAAGTGTCGTTTCTCGGCGTTTTGGCGAAATAATTGAATTCCCACGAAATTAGGTCGGGGTTTCGTCGGATTAAAATTATTCACTTTATAAAACAACCGAGTATTTTCAATATGGACACATTTTTCGTACGCGTTCGGCGTATTTTCATTAAAGACACATTTATTTCGTACGCATTTGGCGTTTTCGACGATATGTCCAGAGGTTGGTAGAGTTATTATACTTAGTTAAATATTAATGTTACGAGTTAATTCAATAATAACTGTGGCGCGAAATAAGTGCACATTTTTATTATTTTTGTAAAAGAAAAAAACAGGGATGTTGTAGAGACGGTGAGGCATGGAAGAAAAAAGTTAATGTTAAAACAGTAAATAAAATATTGAATAAGTAGGGTGATATTATATTACCCATGAGGTGGACCGACGACCTCATAAAGGTAGCAGGAAGGCGCTGGATGCAGGCCGCTACCAACTGGTATTATGGAATCATTGTCATCATCATTTGTCAGCCGTTTGGTGTAGTGGTTCGAATTGGACCACTATTCCGGGGGTTGCAGGTTCGATTCCCGCACAGTACAAACATTTGTGTGCATGAACATATTTGTTTGTATTGGACTGGGTGTTTTCTATGTATGTATTTACAAAAAAAAAAAGTATTTAAGTATGTTTATATCCGTTGTCTAGTACCCATAGTACAAGCTTTGCTTAGTTTGGGGCTAGCGGCGCAGTGTAAAATGTCCAAGGATATTTTTTTATTTTTTATTGAGGGAGGCCTTGGTTCAGCAGTGGACGTCCTATGGCTGAAAAGATGATGATGATATGAATAAGTTCTGTCAATGATGGCAAGAATAACAAAAATACTTATAAATAAAGAAAGATAATAATAATATTTAGGAAGTAAATAATGAATCATGTTGTTATGGCATACTTTAGACATGTTTTACAATATATTTCGTTGTTAGGACACGTAGGGGTCGTTAACATGGAATAGACTAGGAGACAGAACTGTATCTTTTTTTTCGATCATTTTTAGAGGATGACAATGACGCAATTCGGTATACTACATTCTTTCTTCTTCTTCTTGTGGTGTCGACAACAAACCTACACAGTGTCAGCCCAAAACTCCGCTACAAGAGTGGCGTTGTCAGTAACCTTCATTAAAATTTCCTGCGTGTAGTTGTTTGAGCACGGTGGGCACGACATCATAATAATATGCTTCATCGACTGTATTATTACATTTTTATATCTGTATTGACCAGGAAAAATTACATAAACAAATTAGGTAGGTAATGTGAAGAGATTAATGAAAAGATGAATATTTGTTACTTCTTCGCGTAAAAACAATTGGTCATTTCTTAAAAAGCTGAGCAACAAGTTGTATTCAAAGTCAAAGTCAAAATTTCTTTATTTGTATAATAATGTAGACTAATAAATAGTACTTACAAATCGTCAAATTTTTTGCTCTTTTTTGCTCTGCTCTTATTATGAAAGAAGTATTTTTT